CTTTTGTGCTCATAATGAGGACTTATGTACAGCATCCTATTTTACTCCAGATCAAATGGGCACGGATAAACATCGTTTTAAATAATGGCTACATTCGTTTCTTTACTCAAATGGCCAAAAGCATTTAAATTCTCCATTACCAAGGTTATATAAAAAGGGGGAGGGAGAAAGGGAGCCCAACCTTGCTATGTTAATTGTGATTATATAAGGGTGGTTGAAATGGATGGAAATGCTCAAGGATCCTGAGCATGTTGAAGCTCAGATTATGGAAGCAGGGGAATGGTATTTGTTCCAGATCAATTAACCCTACAATTATAGAAAATATGATCTTCATGTAAGTATTCCTAGGAAGTGAGGGGGTCTGCTCTGTCCTACAGGGGCACTTCAGAGCTGGCAGCAGAACACATCCTGTAATCTCATCTCCTGCAAGAGACATGGACTGCAGAGTGCCAACTCTACCTAGGTGTCTCACGCTGCTGGCTGCAAAAGCAGAGCCCGCTGCTGCCTTAATCCCTCAGTCTCGATGGCAACTGAATGCATAATTAAGGAGGAGAAGCTTCAAGGAGACAGCTGCCATTCACATGTTAGGATGAGAAGTAGGGGAATGGACAGGTCTATGCTTCTAAGCAGCTGGCAGGTGGAAGTTTGACACAGTGGAGAGGCTGCTCCTTGACAAAGGAGTCTTGTATTTTGCAAAGGCCAAAAAGCGCCATCATCTTTGACAAGGAGGCAACTTGAATTGTCTAGGACTGACTGTATTGTTGTCTTTAAAGCAAACTGCTCCTGCAAAATGGGAACAGTTCCCCCACCCCACCCACATTGCCTGTGCCTGCTTAAGATTTGCCAGGCCAGGCAAATTGTGCTATCAACACCTGAAGATGAGAAAATTATGTTGCTTTGCATGTGTGCAAGAAATGTTTTTTATTTATTTATTTATTTATTTATTTATTTATTTATTTACTTACTTACTTACTTACTTACTTACTTACTTACTTACTTACTTACTTACTTATTAAGGAGCCAGAAAAAACATCGTTTTGCGAACAAACAGTTCGCAAAGCAGGGACCTAATCAACGTAAAACCAAAAAACGTCATAGGAACCACCGTTTTGCAGTCGCAATAGCGATCGCAAAAAAGTCATCATCAAGCGATTTTGTTGTCATGTGGGGTCATCGTAATGCGGGGCACCACTGTATTTATTATTGGATTTCTATCCCACCCATCTAGACCAAAGGTCTACTCTGTAAATTTGTAGTTTGGGTGATTTGGCAAAAAATTGGCTACATCAATGCATTCAATAAATAAATGATTTTTCTGGTACTAGATCATACAATACCAACCTGACTGCAAAATGGCTGTGGAGCCAGAAGTTGGGAGTTTGATTCCCCACTGTGCCTTTTAACCCGTCCAGGGGCTGGACTCAGTGATCCACAGGTTCCCTTCCAGCTCTGCTGTTCTTAGAAAACAGACTATGCAGTTCGAAATAGGATATAGAGAAGCAATATTCTCTCTGCCAAAACAAGACTCAGAGCAGATTGTCGTAATTAACAAGAATTATTAACATCTAAATAACATGTTTTGATGAACTGAAAGTCCAGAACAGATTTGCATTACTAAACTCAATTGAATGTAAATAAAAAAATTGTTGATTGAAACTAGATATATGCTCAGGGAAGAATGCGGAAAGACAATTCTTTTAGACAAAAGCGTGGTGGCGCTGTGGGCTAAACCGCAGAAGCCTGTGCTGCAGGGTCAGAAGACCAAGCAGTCGTAAGATCGAATCCACGCGACGGAGTGAGCGCCCGTTGCTTGTCCCAGCTCCCGCCAACCTAGCGGTTCGAAAGCATGCAAATGCGAGTAGATAAATAGGTACCATCTCGGTGGGAAGGTAAACAGCGTTCCGTGTCTAAATCACACTGGCCATGTGACCACGGAAAAATTGTCTTCGGACAAACGCTGGCTCTATGGCTTGAACAGCGGGATGAGCGCCGCCCCCTAGAGTCGGACACGACTGGACAAAAATTGTCAAGGGGAACCTTTACCTTTACCTAAGGAAAACAGACTAAAACTTTCAACATACATTCTAAACCCCAAGAATGTTGTTGTTTTGACTTATATACTGCCCCATAATGTTTGGAACACTGTCTACGCCAGTGATGGGGAACCCTTTTGAGCCCCAAGTGCCCCCAAAAGCTTGTATCTGTTATATAATACCAGTCAAAGTTTTTAAAATAATTTTGACTGACTATGCCTGCTGGTACTGAAGAAGAAGAAGAGGAAGAAGAAGAACAATAACAAGTCCCCACAGTCCCCGCGGCCAGAAATAGACAGCCACATATGATGAGAAGAGAGAGTTTGCAGTTTACTGCCTTCCCCTCCGCAACATCCTTTTTTCAAAACCACACCTGGGAAGCCTCTGGATCCTGCCTTGTCACACCGTCCCCACCAGCTCATGAAGAGAAGGTACAAGTCCATGGGCTAAGACGAGCTGCCCACTTGCCTGGCCAGTCGTTTGAATTTCCCACGTGGCCTACTATGTCTCATCTGTCTCGGCCAAAACGCTCTTTCCATTTCCCAGGAAATGGTAGGAGCCACCACACGAGCGCTGCCTTCATCAGCTGTTCTCCTTCCGCTTGCGGCCCAGAAGAGCGTCAATGTTATGGCCATGACGGTTATTTCTCAGTAGCAACTTACGGCTCGCATGCTCACAGAGAGGGCTCTGCGTGCCAGTTGTGGCACGCAAGCCATAGGTTCACCATTGCTGGTCTAGGCAGTTTACAACATAATTATGCCAACAACAACTTGCCCTCCAGCAATCTTGGAGATGCCAAGGAGTCTAGTCATTGCATTAATTTCTCATGCAAGCAAAGTGATGCTAAAGGTGTTGCAACAGACACCTGTACAGAGCAAGAAATGCTTGAAATTCAAGCTGGATTCAAGAAAAGGCAGAGGGAGATCACATCACAATTGCTTACTGGCTACTGAAACACATGAAAGAATTTCAGAAGATCACTCCATGCTTTCTAAATTACAGCACAGACTTTGACTGTGTGCATCATGAGAAGCTACAAACTGTTCTAAAAGAAATGGATGATCTTTAGCACTTGATTGTCCTGGATGCATAACCTGCTCTGCATACAAGAAGCTAGTGTTAGGACAGAATACGGAGAAACAACGATCTTACACAGGCAAAGGTGCCATACAAAAGTGTATTTTGTTCAGTCTGTATACAGAACATATCAAAAGGAAAGCTGGATTAAATTCAGATGAAAGAAGTGAAAATTGATGGAAGAAACATCAATAATTTAACACATGCAGATGACACCATATTACTGGCATATTAACTGAGTTGGATAGATAGGGGCCATGACAGACTGCTACGCATACTGAATTGAGTGGCTGTGTTGTTAAATTGGGTGTTTCAACACTGCAATTAGTTTGATTGTTTTTAACATCTCTTACTGAGTTTTAATTGTACTTTTATGTTGTTTTAACTGATATGAGCCATCCTGGATCTCCTATAAGGACAAAGACAGAACCTAAGTAAATTATATAATAACAACAATAATAAGAAGAATTCCCTTCCAAAAGTAAAAACGGCATTTAGTGCCCATTGGGTACTTTGGTGGCAGATTTAAGAGATCTGAGGTAGTTCTACGTTATAAAACCCCATACAGTGGTGCCTCGCTTAGCGATGTTAATCCGTGCAGAAAAAAATCACTGCTAAGCGATAACATCGCTAAGCGAAAATAAAAAGCCCATAGAAACGCATTAAAACGCGATTAATGCGTTCCTATGGGCTAAAAACTAACCTTTAAGTGAAGATCCTCCATAGGGGCTGCCATTTTTGGTGCCTCTTAAGCGAGGAAACACAGTGGGTGGCCATTTTGTTGACCCGGCGGCCATTTTGAAACCGCCGATCAGCTGTGCAAAAATGAAGGCTTTGCGATGATCGCTTCCCTGCGATCATCGCAAAGCGAAATTTCCCCATAGGGACCATCGCAAAGCGATCGCTTTTGCTATACGGAGCGATCACTATGCGAGGCACCACTGTATCTACCCTTGCTAAAAAGATGGATTATGCATTCATACAACAAAAAGGCGTTCCTTGCACCAATCATGTGGACCATAATTTTCGACTCTTGACCCTGCCTAGATGAAAACACAGATATAAGCCCTTAACTGCAAAAAAACAAAACAAAACAAAACCCAGCATTCTCTTAATATCTTGGGCACCATCACAACATTTCCAATTTCAGAATCAACTTGTAGTTCACAGTCCTCCTTTCCACATTTGTCCAAGTAGATCCCCATGGGAAGAATACCTACTTTAAAAACAGGTAATAAAAAGAGAATTGCTGATTTCTGGCAAAAGAACGGGACTCCCACTGGGGAAGGAAGTAAAGCCATTCTCTCCAGCAGCAAACACCTCTGGCCTCCTCCTAGCAATGACAATAGGCAGCGCTAGCTTCTCCATACAGTATTAGAAGGGAGGGACCCTGTGAACAAAAGTCCTTTCACAACTAGCAATAGCAGCCTTAATTCTGCTCTCACTGTTCTACGAGTGGGTGAGTGAGAGATAGAGAGAAAGCAAGTTTGAGAGTAGGTAAAGTCATCTCTGTTGCAGAATGAAAACCAAAATTGAACTGGACATTTTACCTTCCCATCCAGTCTAGGCATAATGGGTCTTGTTGTTCAACCCATTCAGAAGGTCTAGGAAGCCACAGCCTTCCCCCAATCTGCAAGCACAGCAGGGATCGGGGAGTGGCTTCATACATGTATTAACAAGGCCAGATACAGGGCATTCAGGCACAACCCAATCCTACCCTTATTTTGGAAGTTAGCAGACTACTTTGATCGTCTTGTCGTAGGCATGCTGATGGCAAGGAAAGATGGAGAATTCTCTAAATCGAGTCAGTTCATAAGTGTTTGAGAATCAGGTCTTGATCCCTGAAATTTATCTTACAAGGCAGCAGTCATGATAGGCAACAAACAGGAGTCAATGAAGTCCATTTTAATGCTTTGAAAAATGGACCGTGTAACAAACTAGTAGTTTTACCTGCACCAACACTAAGCACTAGGAGTGGCGGCAGCTGTGGAGTGGATTCGAAAACCCTGAGGCAAAATTTGCCACCTATGCTGCGAGGAGGTCTCAATAGGCTTCTCTCCATCCACATCTCAAGTTCTGAATGATAATTAAATAAAACAAAACAGCACTTTTCCCCAGCAGCTTAAAATGGCACCAGAGAAATTGACACACAGCATTTCCTGGGCCTTGGTTCCCAGAGAGGACCAGGAATTTGCTACACAGAGCAGGGACTGGACAGTAAAAGCAAATACATGATGCAGAAAGGAGCCTAGTAAGGATCTCCAGCAACCAAGGAGCTTACAACAGCAGACTCTTCTTTCCCCTCTCAAGCACCAAATCACACAGGAGGGGATTACCCCACCAACACTACTTCGAAGAGACCCCTCCTTCACACACACACCCCTTCAGACATAATCTTCAGCCCTGGCCAAGTATCTCCCATAGTTCTCTTCACACTGTTTTATGCAGCTGCAGAAATAGTTCACATCAGCAATGGCCTCCAGGAGGTCTGTTTGAACCAGACACATGCCATATAACTCAGAGGTTGGAGGTGTCCGGACACTGCAGCTTCCTGGCCCTGAAAACACCTGCCAAGGTTAAAAAAAAGAGGAAGGGTTTTATAGGGAGTCAAAGGTTTTAGCTGATCAGAAGCAAATTCTGAGATTTAAGACCAGCCTTTAGGGACAGATAGCAACAAGGTACGGCTCCAAGTAAACCTCAGATGTAATGCAAATATCGAGAAGTCAATTTTCAAGTCCCAATAACTAAAAGGAGCTCTGTAACTATTCCTTGCCAGAAGACCAGAAAGGAGTTTGCCAAGGGAATTTTTACAAGCATGATTGCTCTCTGTGTATGTGGAGGTGCGGTTCCTGCCCCCACCCCTCTTCTGCAATTTGCACAGGGAATGCAAAATAGGGGATCTAAAATCACACAGGCAATTCTTGGATGAGCAGAACCAAAAGTTGTCAGATTAACCGGACTTGTGTGTGTAGAGGGAAGAAACTGGCACTTAAATATTTTTCCTGCTGGAGCTTTTGGTGAAGAAATGGCACAGGCATGCTGGGCAGCAAAGTGTCCCAAGACATAACTTGGGTGGCTGGACTCCAGCAGGATCCAATTAACTTTCTCTGCCCATCTGTTCTTTCAAGACAGTGGTCCAACTCATCACTCCGGTGCACTCTTTCCTTTAAGGGAAAGTTTTTAGGCAGAGACAGAGGGCTGCCATGAAAACCAGCCCCTCCTTCCTTCCCTCTGCTTTACATCCAATTACAGTACTCATCCAGCATGAAAACTGCCCTTTCGGCACACACAGTGCTGCAAATGAGCCTCACGCCGCTCAGAGACAGGCTGCAGGGCTCCAGCAATGAGCAGGAATGAGTCATGACAGCTGAAGGCAAGAGGGAACTGCGAAGCACGAACAGGCATTGAGCCCCTGCTGTTCCACGCCAGCAAACAATTCACCTCTAATTGCTTGCAGTGATGACAGGTAGCTTGCTCCCCATTCTTTTGGATCAGTCTAAATGTGCAACAGCAGTCTTCTCCCCATGCTGGACAGAGGTGCTGAAAAGGTCTCCAGGGAGACAGGCGTTGTTACTTAAGAATGGCAAGGTTTGGATAGAGGATGCAAATGCAGCCATAGGGCCTTGGGCACAATCTATCTGCTCAGTCTACCTCCAGGATCTGTTGGGAGGAGGTTAACAATAAAGCACCTCATCACCATCATGAGAATTGCACATTGACACAAGCCAAGCACACTGTTGTACCTTACCTGAGGATGAACAATGGTGTCCGAATCATTCAGTCGAATGTTGTCATCAATACATATGTGGTGGACGCTTGTATCGTGAGGGTCAATCCAAAGGGGCTTCCCACCTCGGATGGAGAACTGATTCCTGGCCCACCTAGAAGACAGGCAACCAAACGTAAGCAAGGTCTTTCTCACGTCAATGATTTTTCCCTTTAAAAAAAACAACAGCCAGACACCAACCCATCTATTCTGCTGCTTCCATTGCAAGAAAGAAAAAGGGGGAAGAAATGGAAACAAAGGTGCAAAACATTTCCACAAATAGTAGTGAGTGCTCATAAGGCCAAGTCGGTACATTCTTCCTACATACAGATATGAAGACTCTTAATAATGTACACTGTACAATTCATTCTGTTTTGAGAATCTCAGAATATAGTATGATTCTGAAATAAATAAAAGCATTCTCTGACAGATAAAGAGGTTACTTACCTGCAACTCTGGTTCTTTGAGTGGTCATCTGTGAATTCACACTAATGGGTTAAACTGCTCTTGTGCAGAGCAGCCTCAGAACTTTCCAGAGCTTGAGCACTTGGTGCCGGGACCTCCCACATGCTGCCCTTAACCCCACCCCCGGCACTGAGTGCCTCCGTTCCATAGAACCATCCGCCACTGCACAGCATGGAAAGCGCTCACATGACAGACAGCAAGGAGGAAAGGTGAGGAGTGTAAATTCACAGATGACCACTTGAAGAACTAGAGTTACAGGTGCACTCTTAGAAGTGCCTTGGAAGGCTACAAAGAGCCTTTTTGCAGAAAAGCGAGGTGTGAGCAACGTAATAGGAGAGAGTCCGCTTAACGTCCAGGGAATGCAATGCTCGCTCTAAAGGTGGGCCACGTGCTGGAAAAAAATTGGGCATCACAATTGGCTGGTTTAAATGAAAATAAGACGATACCTTGGGAAGGACGGAGAGGTCTGGGTAGAGAGTCACCTTGTCGGGATGGAATTGGAGGAAGGACAGGTCCACTCTCAGGGCCACCATTTCTCCTGCTTGCTGTGCCGAAGTGATGGCAAGGAGAAAGGCAGTCTTCAAGGTCAGGAGATGGTCCGGCATTGTAGCCAAGGGTTCAAAGGGAGGCTTCATAAGCCGATTCAGGACAAGCTGGAGTGACCATTGCGGAGTTAGAGGCCTATAGGCTATGCATATATTCTTCAATCCCCACAAAAACTGTTTCAAAGTGGGGTGTCAAAAAAGAGAGGCTGCATGAGAAGAGGGTGGCTGATGGGCCATTATAGTGGCCATATACACCTTTAGAGTCGAGTGGAAGAGACCACACCGAAACAGGTGAAGCAGGAACTGGAGGACCACAGTGAGGGACATCGGGCTTTAAGTGGCGGGATGACACAAACTTGCAGAAAGCTTTCCACGTATAGACATATGTCAAGGAGGCAAAGCACTTACGCGCATAACTGAGAACTTCAGACGAAACAGGTGAAGCAGGCACTGGAGGACCGCAGTGAGGGACATCGGGCTTACAGGTAAGTGGTGGGATGACACAAACTTGCGGAAAGCTTTCACGTATAGGCATATGTCAAGGAGACAGAGTGCTTACGCGCACAACTGAGAACTTCAGCTATAGAGAGGGAAGCCTCCACGCCACCAAGTGAAGAGAGTCCAAGTCTAGATGGAAGATTTTGCCATTCCCTGTGCAAATGTCCCGGGTCAACAGGTGGGGAATGGATGTCAGGTGGATGTACTCCAACACCCTGTCACGGAGTGCAGAGAACCACGGCTGGTGAGGCCAATAGGGGGATAAGAGGATGACATTTGCGTTGTCCTGCCGGATCTTGATAATGGTTCTCTGAAGAAGTGGGATCGGAGGGAACATGTAGAGCAGGACCAGCTGATCATGAAGACATCCCACAGGGAGAGTTGGCCCACCCCTGCCCAGGAGCAGGAGCAGCTGCACTTCTTGCTGTTCCATGACGCAAAGACATCCACTTGTGGGATGCCCCACAGATGGCAAAGCCAATGAAAGATAGTATTGTCTAGGGCCCATTCATGAGAACAGGACTGGAGCCTGCTGAGGTGGTCCGCCAGGGCATTCCTCTGGGCTGCCACATGAACCGTCACCAAGTAGATGTGGTGGACAAAACACCATTCCCAGAGACCGATGGCTAGATAGAGCAGCAGGAGCGAGTGGGTGCCCCCCTGCTTGTTGATATAAAATACTACCATCATGTTATCCATTACAACCTGAACCACTCGACCCGTTAGGAAACGCTTGAATGCTTGAAAAGCCTAGGTAATTGCCAGGAGCTCAAGATGACTGATGTGGAGGCGTGCTTCCGTCGAAGACCAAAGACTGTGTATCGTGAGGGACTCCAGGTGTGCACCTCAACCTGTTCAGCTGGTGTCTGTAGTTAGCTGAATAGAGGGGGACAACTGGCCAAAGGACCTTCCTACCATCAGACTGGGCAGTAGATCCCACCAGAATAACTGGGCGGCCAGTTCCACCATGACGTGCAGAAGCTTGATCGGAGGATCAAGCACTACAGCGAACAGGGAGAGGTACCACGCTTGAAGCGACCTCATTTTCAAACAGGCATGCTGTACCATGGCTGTGGTATATGCTACGGGGCCAAGCAGCCACTGAACCTGAAGGGCTGGTACCCAAGCTCCCCAGCGGAAAGAGTGTAACATGGACCGGATCTTTGAAATCCTGTCCAGAAGTAGTGAGACTTGACCTGACAAAGCATCCAGAACAGCCCCAATATAAGCAATTCGCTGAGTGGGATGAACTGTTGACTTCTACAAATTGACCTTCAGACCTAGGGTTGATAGCAGAGATAAAGTTAGTGTCGTATCTCGCTTGGCCTGGGCCTCAGACAGCAGCCAGTCATCCAAGTAAGGAAACACCGTGATACCTTGGAGATGCAAATGCGCTGCCACAGGGGCTAAGCACTTCATGAACAACCATGGGGCAGTCGACAACCTGAAGAGGAGGGCTTTCAATTCGTATGTCACTCCTCCAATGCGAAGAATAAGCTGGGAGTAAGAAGTATAGTCCTCAGATGGAGAGGGAGGATGATTCTCCACGACATCAGAACTGGGCGTGGGAACATTGGGAGGTAAGTCTTCCTCCCCGCCTGAGGCCAGTGAATCAGAGTCTGATGGCTCCTGATCGATAGATGGGGAATAATCTACCCGACTGGTCTGCGGATAGTAGGTGACGGTATCGACTCGGGTTACCAGTCTACCTACATCTCTTCTAGGGCACTGGGCTGGAGACTGAAGCCACTCCAGAGCCACCTGTGCACTCTCAGGGTCCGATACCAGACGATAAGCTTGGTTATCATTGACTGCAGGACCATAATCCAGAGGCAGATGCCTCTTATGGGGCTGCGGCGGTAGAGGAGGATAGAAATCACCCTAAGTACCTGCAGGGCAATCCTCAAAACACTGATATTGAGGGGGAGAGGTTGATGGCGAGAGTGAATAGGGATGGTAGTAACAATGACAATAGTACGAACCTGTAGGCCCTTGGATAGGAGTGCAAGTTGGGCTTGAAGTTGTAAGTTGGGCTTGAAGTTGTCAGGATCAAAGCACGGCGGATGGTCATAGTAGCGCAACCTCCTATAGCGCTCGTAATCGGGGCTTGAAGTCGTAAGTTGGGCTTGAAGTCGTCAGGATCAAAGCACGCCGAATGGTCATAATAGCGCAACCTCCTATAGCGCTCGTAATCGTGACCAGGGACCAATCGATGCCGAGGGAGCTCAGGCTCGTGCGGTGGCTCAAGGTGCTGTGACTTGTGTGTTCTCTTCCTAGGCACCTTCATCAGTACTGATTCCAGCGGCAAGATGGAGACATGCCGCCCAATTGAGCCTGGAGGAGTTTGCAGGCTAGTCTGTGCCAATTATACTTCTGCAGAGGTGTTGCCCCAGTTAGGAGAGTAGCTGAGGCATGGGGATGGCGAGGCCTCTGGCACTGGGGGCGGACCATCTTCGTCCCCCAATGGTAAGCTAAGGCATACTGATTGCCACTGGGATGTATCCGGTGTCGAAGCTAATTTATCTGCCAAGTGACCTAGTTCCGGAGCCTTCTTTTTCTTCTTTGGGGCCCGATACTGAGGGAGGCTTCGGTGTCAATTTCATAGCTGTTGACCTCAAGCCTGAGGAAGACGCCTGGTGCTTGGCTGCCATTTTAGAACCCTTCTGGGCTTTAGGAGGTGGTGGCAAACCCAAGACCAAGGGCTGCCGCTTCACCTGTGGTACCTCTGGGGTTGGAGACAGAGAGTTTTCCCAGAGAAAAGAACAGAGGCATTGAAGCCTCCATTTCAAAGCTGGTTCAGTGAAGTTTTTACACACCCCACAAAGGGCCAGCTGGTGTTCCTCCCCAAGACATCATCATAGGCATCCTTCAGTCTTGAGAGACTATGGTAACATGCTCTAAATCGAGGAGTGTCCTCTCCAGAGCATGAAGCCTGGGTAAAGTAATATGGAGGATAGGCTGTTACCCAAGCAGAAGATCCCCCCTCTCCACGTTGCTGAAATCGTCCAATGGAAAGGCAAGAGCCAATACAACTGGTTCCAGCAACGTCACAGGAGTTGGCAGAACGACACGAACTGCCTCCGGAACTCCAGCTCCGGATTTTGCCTCTAGATTAACTCCTGAACCCTTTTCATGAGTGGATATAGCCGCAAGGCAGTGGAGGTTTGAAATCGGAGTTTTCCTTCTCCTAGATGGGCTGCCTTCCATGGCTGACAAGCCCCCTTACCCAGCCTGCTCTTTAATAGTGCAGAAGTATGACCCAACCCTTAAAACTTTCCTGCCTCCCAAGTGTATGCAAATCTAATTGGCTTTCCTATTTACCATATTAGGGCCAGAGATACAATCAAAGAATTTGAGAATTTCGTGTGCCGTTAGGCCCAGGGTCCCGGGACACGCTCATTTAAAGCAGAAATCCCCACCCCATAGGCCCCACCTCCAGGCCATGTGGTGGGGGAGACAAAAAGAAAACCCAGGAAAAAAACTCAGCAAAATCTCCATGCAGACATACTTGGCCTTCAGCCTCAGCCCAGCTTCCTAGGGAAAGCTGGGCTGAGGCTTTGCCCAAGACAAAACAAACAACAAAAGTGTCCCTCGGAGAGAGCAATCTTGTTGGGGCAGCTCTTGCACCTCTTAAAGAGGCCCGGAGCGGCCATAAACAACGCTACGGCTCTCCTAACACAACTAACAGTCTTGTTTTATTCTTTTAGTCAAACTCACAGCTTCTAATCAACAAAAACAAGTCATGCCAGACTAATTTGATCTCTTTTTTGATAGAGTTACAGGCCTAGAGGATGACGGGAATGCTGTGGATGTAACATATCTTGATTTCAGTACGGCCTTCGACAAGGTTCCTCATGACATTCTTGCAAAGAAGCTAGTAGAATGCGGGATAGATAGTGTTACTGTTAGGTGGATTTGTAATTGGCTGACTGACCAAGTGATAGCAATGGTTTCAAATTACAGGAAAAGAGACTCCATCTGAACATTAGGAAGCAATCAAAGAATTTGAGAATTTCGTGTGCCGTTAGGCCCAGGGTCCCGGGACACGCTCATTTAAAGCAGAAATCCCCACCCCATAGGCCCCACCTCCAGGCCATGTGGTGGGGGAGACAAAAAGAAAACCCAGGAAAAAAACTCAGCAAAATCTCCATGCAGACATACTTGGCCTTCAGCCTCAGCCCAGCTTCCTAGGGAAAGCTGGGCTGAGGCTTTGCCCAAGACAAAACAAACAACAAAAGTGTCCCTCGGAGAGAGCAATCTTGTTGGGGCAGCTCTTGCACCTCTTAAAGAGGCCCGGAGCGGCCATAAACAACGCTACGGCTCTCCTAACACAACTAACAGTCTTGTTTTATTCTTTTAGTCAAACTCACAGCTTCTAATCAACAAAAACAAGTCATGCCAGACTAATTTGATCTCTTTTTTGATAGAGTTACAGGCCTAGAGGATGACGGGAATGCTGTGGATGTAACATATCTTGATTTCAGTACGGCCTTCGACAAGGTTCCTCATGACATTCTTGCAAAGAAGCTAGTAGAATGCGGGATAGATAGTGTTACTGTTAGGTGGATTTGTAATTGGCTGACTGACCAAGTGATAGCAATGGTTTCAAATTACAGGAAAAGAGACTCCATCTGAACATTAGGAAGAACTTCCTGACAGTCAGAGCTGTCTGGCAGTGGAATAGGCTGCCTTGAAAGGTGGTGGAGGCTCCTTCTTTGAAGGTTTTTAAACAGAGGCTGGATGGCCTTCTGTTGGGAGTACTTTGATGGACGTTCCTGCATGGCGGAGGGTTGGACTGGATGGCCTCAGTGGTCTCTTCCAACTCGATGACGCACAGCAAAGAAGAATTGCTGAAAGATCTGAAACGAAGCCAGGGAGGTCCAAAGAGAAGGTAAGGAAGGTAAGTGAATGAAAAATAGCACAGAAGTTCCTAATGAGGTGCTGCTGCAGCGGCAGCAAAAAAGGAGTTGAGACACTTAACCCATTAGTGTGCATTCACAGAGAACACGAAGAAGAAGGAATTCTTAAAGAATGAAATATTTATAGCTGACAGTGGAAACTTTATAATTGGGGCAATTCATTCCTGTTAATTGGATTCCTCAAAAGCGCCAACCCTAGCTGCTGCATAGAAAAAAAAATGCTGAAAATCTCCAGAAGAGGAGGTGGCTTGCTAGTAGTCATGTGCATTGAATTAAAGAATTCATAGAACTGGAAGGGATCATCTAGTACAACTCCATACTCAATAAAAACTCTGCAAGACAGATGTAGCATGTCTGAAAGGTGGCTGGCTGGCCAGTCTTCGTTTAAATATATTCAGCAAAGAAAAATCCATCTCCTTCCAAGGCAGACCTTTTCACTGTCAGAAAAGCCCTAACCATCAGACAATTCTCCTAATATTTAGTCAAAATCTGCTCTCCTGGAATGCCCACTCATTAGTTCTAACCTTGATTTTTGCTGTAAGACTGCCTCAGTGTTTGAATAGCCAACCACCTTAATATATTTGAAGGCAGCGATCAAGTCTCTCCCTTAATTTTCTTTTCTCCTGACTAAATATACCCAAACATCCTACATAAGGCTTGGTTCCCAGCCCCCTTCACAATTCTGGTTCACCTCCTCTAAAAACAGTACAAATAGATCATAAAATACTGCAGGCTTTCATATTATGTGCAACCTTGTATTCTCGTTAAGTTACCAGATGACTTGATAGTTTTTCTAGATCAGTAATGAGAAGTTTGCTCAAAGCTGCAGACGGTTCATGCTGCATGGTGTGAAGCAGGTGAATTAACCGCAAGAGAATTGCTGAGATTTCAGACAGAGGAAGGCTTTTTTATTGATGGGAGTTTTGCCTGGAGGAGGCAAGATACGATCCTAAATCCATATTATAAACCAACAACAGCAGGGCACAAGTGTTGTTAAATGGACCCTAAAGAACCAATAATAAGTTCTCACTTTAAACAAGGACTTCTAGGTGTTTTGGCAGACAACTCAGTAAGGAAAGAAAGAAAGATGAAAACAACAGCATGACACAGCAGGAACATCTGGCTGAAATCAGGAAATAAAAGGATAGTTGCCTTAGAGACCTGGCCATTCACCTGGCTCATAAGAAACAAGGTCACAACAGATTATTCTTTAACTTGCAGGAAAAGGCAAGTAGAAATCCATATACTACACAGGATGAATTTTTAAAAATCAGGCAAGATTTCTCAGTGTCTAAGCAAATAACTATCAACATCAGAAACAGAACTGCATCACCCACCAGAGCAGACCTGAGCAAAGTGTGGCCCGAGGGCCACATACGGCCCACGAGCCGCTCCTGTCCGGCCCGTGGACAGTTTTGAACATCAAAACCATTTATAGCTTTTTGTCTAAAGTTGATCAATTGCTCATCTTTAATATACTGCAAAAAAAACTCTTTAGTATTTGTGAAGATTAACAAGTTTAAAATAAAAACAATCATAACATCGTTAGGAAGAACAACCTTCTTCGTTAGGAAGAACAACCTTCATAACACGGCCAAAGAGCCCAAAAAATCCACAACAACCAGAGCCCGAAAAACCCACAACGACCAATCATAACATCACTGTTTCATTTTATTTTTAAGTAAAGTTGGTTCCGCCCCAGAGCACAGTTCAGATTTTTCATGTCCCCACCCCACAGAAATCAATTGCCCACCCCTGCACCAGAGAGATAGAGAAAAACCAAATTGTTTAGTTTCTCACCAATCAAAGTGGTCCTGGAAGCCACAGATACCTTCCCTGGAGCTGAAATACGCATATATTTTCCTACCACCATCTTCAGTGGAGACTTTCTCTTTTCCATGAGTCAACACCACTTTTCGCTTGCTGCAACGTATTGTTCCAGGCTGGGGGTTGATGGGCAACTAACATGTGTGTGACAGAGAAAGAGATGAGAAAACTTGTTTGAAATAGCAAAACCTGACATGCTTCACTATCTTACATCAAGCCCTAAATAGCTAGCCAGAGACCATCAAAGCAGAAAGGAACTGGGGATGAGGCATCAATCTGAAGAGAGAGAGGCCGTATTCTCTGAAAGAACAGAGACTCAAGGTTGCCAAGCCTCAGAAACCTCTCATGCTACATGGAAACAGGAAGAGGCTGTTGGCAGTTCCACTGCCCAGAGTTTGGGGAACGTTGCTTCTGTTGCTTTCTTCTATACAGACGATCTCCCCCATGAACAAATTGTGTGGAAGTCTGGAGCTCAAACCCCCCCCACACAGATCAGTCAAAAGTCCATAGAATCCAGCACCCTGTTTCCAACAGTGGCCAGCCCTTTGAGAAGGATGCTGTACTCATCTGTTGTACACTCCCATAATCCAATGATTAGACTCTCCTATTCCTAAACACAGGCTGGAACTGTATCAACTGGAGAGGTTCTACACTAGAATGGAATACCAAGCATTGACTGCATGGATCTGGGTGCAAATGCCAATTCAGCCACAAAGTTCACTTGTTCACTCCATGTGACCCATTCACTCCCTAATCTACTTTACTGGGTTGATTCTAAGGATAAAATAGGGGACCTCCCCAGAAACTCTGCCCTGAGATCCTCAGTTGAAAGGAAAAACAGAAGTCTACGAAATAAAATATATAATATTGTTCTACTTTGTCCCATTTAACAGACCCTCTCTCTTACTTGCCTTTCTCTGCGATTTCATGGACTAGACTTTTTTGGGGGGTGTCTTTTTGGGTAATGAAAATTGAGTTTTTCCGAGAGTTCAATGAAAACCATAAGAATTCTGCATTTGAGAACAATATCCTCAATTGCGTTTCATAATCCAGGCTTTTCTGTCACTATAACACAAACAAAGGCCCCATAACTCTCAAATCCAGAGTTCCAGATATGCAGAATTATTTTCACTTTTTATCAGAGATCTACTTGACTAATGCTGGATTTCTTTTTTGTTCCACAGCCCTGGAACAGAGGAAAGAGAAACTTCTAACTGTGGCACGTTTTCTCTCGCAATGTGCCTCAGGGTAAAGAAAAGAGGGGTAGAATCAGAGAGGCTAAATCTAAATCTCACAGGGGACCAGTTATCATACACAGAACCAGCAAGAAACCCACAAGCATGCAAGGAAAAGTTTTTATCATACTCTACTCAATAGAAAAAATATGCAAAACTGAGCAAGCTACAGAGAAGCAAATGTGGGCTTCTTAATAATATGCAACAGTCACACTCTTCAGTTAGAACCCTTCAGCTAAGCAATCTGAATGGGCCGGTAAGGTGGTCAAAGCAGTAGCCCCCCCCCCCGCCCCGCAGAAAAGAAGCGACAGCAGGAAGACATCCAACCTGTTTTCTGCCCACTCACCGAGATGTCCCGTAGAGCCGGGAAGTTAGGATGCTGCCCCTCCAGGGCGCAGTGCACCGCCTGCAGGACACGGGGCAGGTCTGTGCCAAAGGTGCGCAAGATCACAGCAAACTGCCTCCCTTCCTGGTGCAGGCTCTCCAGGAGACAGAAGAAGGAAGGCAGCACTAAGTGGTAGTGCTTGGCCTTCTTGTCTTTAATGGAGAGCAACGGGTGGGGTTGGCCTTGCCATTCCAGCAGCTGCAGGTAGCGCCTGTGAAGGTCTCGAAACTGCCGCCCCAGGGATGTGTCAGTGAATGTGGTGTTGCGGCCGTACTGGGAGTAAAAACTCACAGCTCCGTTGCACGGAGGAAGCAAAGAGGGGGACTCACTGAGCCACTGCCACTCACCTGGAACAGAAAAGAAGGGAGCAGGGAGAGGCCACAGAGCTCCACGTTAAAATAATCTCTCTCTCTCTTCTATTATCCCTTCCCTTATGTCAGTACACTGACACCCTATGGGGACAACACAATGTCAGTACATTAATCATGTTAATATTTTAAAATTTGTTATCTGTACAAGTATCCCTCTTCACTTGGGTCACTATGCATATTGTGTCTATTGAAGAGTGATCACCAGAGGTCCAGAAGGTGCACACACACCCCATCCCTAGGCCTGGGAGTTCTGCACCTGCTTATACAACCTCAACTCCAAAACTATGTTCTGACAAAAATTGCTTTCTAGAAACTGAAAGAAGTCCCCTTTGGCATGCTAGTGACGATTTTTAAAAAAATCCACTGTTTTTTAAAAAATGAGGGAACCTGCTGCTCTAGACCCCTTCAAGACATGGTAGAATTGGCCTCCATGCCCTTAAAATGGCACAAGAGGATTTTTTGAGCCTTCTCCTCCCTTAAAAATATTGGAGTAGGATGGGTCCTGCATTTGAACTCTATAGGTTGCCTATATAGACTTATGGTGAAACACTTCACTCCATATGTTTAAACAAATATGTTGCAATTCATATCTCACTTTTTACAATGAAATAAATCTGTTAGTCTTTGAGGTGCCACAATACTTTTGTTTTTATTTTGGTTATGTCATATATGTCAGCCATTTATCACACGTCCCATACCAAAACTTCCAGATTTATATTTAAGCCTCTCTCCTGTTCCATCCTAACAATTGTCCTGCAGTCCTTTTCCTCCTCCCTCTGTGAACATTTTCAATGGTGTAATGTAATGAAGATCCGACAACAGGTACACACATGATTTGAGTCTGTTCCGTAGTGACTTCCCACTGGATCAAGACCATTTTGCATATTACTATGTATTATTTTGGAATGATCACTGATGTTTATCAAAATTCCCTGTCCTCTGGGAACTGTTAAACAAATAATGTAAATGGATCCCCTTATAATAGCAAAAAGACATCTCAGAAATGTGTCTATTTATAGGGATTAATTTTCTCTGTATTTATTATTTTTATAAGCCATTGCGCATATACTGACCCAAATATGTCAGTCTTGCTAACTTAATCCCTACTTTTTGCAATGTTTGTATCAGTTATATATATGTTCAGTTAATACAAGTACATATAAAAACAAATAGTATAGTACAGTGGTTAGAGCAACAAACTAGGTGCATGAAGAAGTAGGTTCAAATCCCCACCCAACCCTAAATCTCCCTGGGGTGGCCTTGGGCCAGTCATTACATCTTCTTTGTATTTACTTTGAAGGAGTTCCCCTGATTTCTCCTTATTCCCAAACATAACACTTTCTTTGCATCTTGGCCTTATGTCTGAAACAGCCTTTGCCAAATTATTAAATTAATATATTATTTATTAAAATACTTATATTCTTCCTTATATTAAAAGATTCCAGGGTTGATTATAGGCAATAAAACAATTTAAAAAACAATAACAAGTTGAAATGTCTTGAAAGTCTACAGGGCTGTCACACAGGGAACATAACCTGTATTCCTATTTTTCCAGGACATCACTAATATGAAATCAGGTAAGCATCAATAGTCTAGAAGAGAAGGCACCTGAAGCCAAGCTCGATTGCTAAATGTGTGTTCATTCAGGTTCTTGGTGCATATGTGTACTGTACACGCATGCCCATGGAAGAAAAAGAGATTGTAATGACTTTAACCTAATTCTGCAAAGACCAGCTATACGTAAATAAGCTTAGGTAAGGGAGAAACACAGGCTTTAACTGCTGTTTTGATAAGATTAGCTGTAAGGAGAACAAAAGAACTCGATCTATAAAGAGATCTGGGTGGTGGGTGGCATAATAGGTGCAGCAGAATTTTGTCTTTCAGCAGAGAAACACTTTAGATCAAAACATATTCTTGCTACAATCCTAGCCCTCCCACGCATCTCTGCTCAGAGCCAATACAGAGTTCTGTAGAAATGATGGCCACGTTCCAGTTTAAGTGGCTTTGTTTGTACAATATTATTGTATTTCCCCAAAAATAAAACAGGGTCTTATATTAATTTTTGCTCCGAAAAACACATTAGGGCTTATTTTCAGGGGATGTTTTATTTTTTTCATGTACAACAATCTACGTTTATTCAAATACAGTCACATCCTCTTCTTCTGATAGCTGCACCATGGTGGAGGGCAGGTTTTCACTTAACTGGGGCTTATTTTGGGGGTAGGGCTTATATTACAAGCATCCTGAAAAATCATACTAAGGCTTATTTTTAGGCTAGGTTTTATTTTTGGGGAAACAGGGTAGGGGTTACACTCTCCCTAAAGGACAGAGTCCGCAACCTGGGGGTGCTCCTGGACCCCAGTCTAACACTGGAAGCCCAGGTGGACTCGGTGGCCAGAGGCACATTCCTTCAGCTGTGGAAATTATACCAGCTATGGCCCTACCTGGACGAGCGGAGTCTCATGACAGTTACACACGCACTGGTAACATCCCGCATAGATTACTGCAATGCGCTCTACATGGGGCTGCCTTTGAAGATGGTCCGGCGACTGCAACTGGTCCAGAATTGAGCTGCGAGGCTGGTGAGTGGTGCGGCCGCTAGGGAACATATCAAGTCGATTCTGTTTAAGCTACATTGGCTACCAGTTGCTGCCTGGGCCCAATTCAAAGTGCTTGTTTTGACATATAAAGCCCTAAACGGCTTGGGCCCTGGATACCTGAAGGACCGCCTCCTTCCATATGAGCCTACCCGGCAGTTAAGATCTAGCCAGGGGGGTCCTTTTGAAAGAGCCGTCCCTCAAGGAGGTAAGAGGGACAGCTTGTAGACAAAGGGCCTTTTCGGCAGCTGCCCCCAGACTATGGAATGTCCTCCCGACTGAGATTCGTCTGGCGCCGACACTGATGACATTTCGGCGCCAGGTCAAAACCTTCCTGTTCCAGAAGGCTTTTAATTGAAATAATATTAGCTGTGGGTCCGATGGCAATTTTTATATATACTTTAATTGTATTTTAATTGTTTTGAATTTTTATTGTATTTTAAATGTTGTAAGCCGCCCAGAGAACTTTGGGTAGTGTGGACAGCATATTAAATAAATAAATAACATATTAAATAAATAAACTGGTCCAGAATTGAGCTGCGAGGCTGGTGAGTGGTGCGGCCGCTAGGGAACATATCAAGCCGATTCTGTTTAAGCTACATTGGCTACCAGTTGCTGCCCGGGCCCAATTCAAAGTGCTTGTTTTGACATATAAAGCCCTAAACGGCTTGGGCCCTGGATACCTGAAGGACCGCCTCCTTCCATATGAGCCTAAATTAAGCAATATTACTTATATAATATGCAAAATGTTATGCCAGTTAAACACATTCAAGTGTTTTTATATCAATGTTTTGGCCTTGGCATTATTTATATAGGAACCCCTAATCTAAGAGAGCTAATACAGTGAACTGATTAGAGTGCTGGACTTAAGAGGCTCAAACTCAAATTCTTACTTGGTCACAAAACTTCTTGGTGTCCTTGGCCGTTCCAAACTTCTCAGTCAAAGCTATGTTACAAGGTTGCTTTCCCAATAAAATTTCAGGACAGGGGAATCATGAAAAGCAGCAATGTACGTTACGGGTGCATATAAATAAACAGTAGCCTTTTGACACACATACAGCGGCTACTTCTGGTGACTTACCTATGACATGGCTACCGTTTTCTGGCATACCTTTACATCAATAGGTGAGGAACATGCTGGGAGCTATAATCTTGCCATCCACTAGACTCTATAGAGGGCTCCTCCCAAAGAACTGTGACTCTCAGGAAGGGAGACGAATGAGGAATAAATACAGTGGTGCCTCGCAAGACATTTTAATTCGTTCCGCGAAAATCGTTGTCTTGTGAAAAAATCATCTTGCGAGGTTCCCTATGCATCGGTCTCAAAAAAAAGTCTTGCAAAGCATCGGTCTAAAAAAAGAAGTCTTGCGAAGCACGGTCATAGAAAAAATGTCTTGTGAGGCACCATAATGATCACAAAAACCAATCATCTTGTTTTTTGCCCCATGAGGCAATCGTCTAGCGAGGCATCACTGTACAGTGATAAATAACCCAAAAACCCTTCATTAGGGTGGCAGTATGTATACATTTGAAGATTTGTGTTTGTGGACTGCAGCTCCTAGAATTCTGCCTGGGGAACTTTCGGAGAATTCTAGGAGTTGCAGTCCAAAAGTAAAAGAACACACCCCTTTTGAAACACAAATCTTTGAAGAAAGGAGCACAGATTATATGAAACAAATAAGAAATAAGTGTGTATTTATTAATCCTTACTTGTTTATTGACTGATATTTATTATATCTGCATTTATTTATTAAGTGTGCACGCACGCACGCACGCACGCACGCACACACACACAGATATACAGTGGTGCCCCGCATGACGACGATAATCCGTTTCAGGAAAATCACTGTACAGCGAAATCATTGTCATGCAAAAACACTTTCCCCATTAGAATGCACTGAAAACCGGATAATGCGTTCCAATGGGGAAAATACCTCGTCGTCCAGCGATCCTCCATAGGGCAGCAATTTTGAGAGAGATGATCAGCTGTTTTTAATCACTGTCTTCCAAAGCATGGGTCCGGAAAACAGCAGGAGGCCATTTTGCAAAGCTGACGATCAGCTGTAAAGATCGTTGTCTTGCGAACAGTCCGCGAAGAATGGACCAAATCATCGTAATGCAAAAAAACCCCATTGAAATGCCTGTTTTGCGAATTGCTATAGCGATCGCAAAAAGGCATCGTCCTGCGGTTTCGACGTTTTGCGGAGTCGTCGTCATGCGGGCCACCACTGTATATGATTGCAGGAAAAGGTTAAATTGTGATAGCCTTTACAGAATCAGAGACGTTGGCTAAGAATTCCAATATTCTCACTTCGAGTCCTCATGAAGCTTGCGAGCAGTAAATCTTTTGTAGTGAGTTTGTGAAAAAAATTATCTACCCACTGAAATTCAGTTTTCTAAATTGTTGGTATAAGATTGCAATGAACAAGAAGCAAACTATGCTATCTTATGTCGCAGAAAATGAGACTTCGTTAAGCTGTAGTGAAAGATGGAAACAATTATTTTAGGACAACTTCCAGAACATCCCAGGCAGTGTTGCCACTTCACAAAAGTAAATTGCCCCACCTTTGATCTTTATCTGAAATGGTCTTACCTGCAGGGCTGATCTTTCCCCAGGTCACAGTAGTCAGATAATAATTGAGAGCCGTTCTAGGATCCTGATTGGTAACAGCATCCGAGACCAGGATGGTGTTGTTCAGGTCAATGTGCAGAACCAGCTTCCGTTTCTTTGGATTTAAAATTGTCTCAGAAACAGGATTAAACTGAGGGATGGCTCCTGATGACTGGCAAACCAACTGTTCATCTTTCTGTCTTTGGGGAGACTGACCACGTTGCCCTTCAGCACAATGGACAACGCTGTCCTGCTCTGAAGGACTTCTTATGTCATCTCCAAAGCCATCAGTCTCAGAATTAGAACACTCCCTTTTTTTCAGGCTGGAACTGTTGGAGAGAAATTCTGCATCCACTAGTCCAGAAATCTTCTCAGTACATAATAGCACATCCTTGGGTTTCAAAGTGTTGGAACCTTTTCCGGGAATATCATCTCCTACAGGCCAGCTGCTCAAAGAGTCATCCCTCCTCGAAACACCTGGATCACTCATGGGCTTAGATTAATTATGATCACAACGGTGTCTTGGGTTCAACTGCATAGGTGAATTAATTAAACAATGGTCAAAACTTTTTATCATATTCAGTGAGATGTAGTAACCTGTAGTCCTAGGAAATACAAGCTCATCCAATTATAAGTCCCACCACGAGGAGTTTAGCAAATTATTCCACCTCAACATAAAGAACAACCAGGAGCAGTTTAATAGAACACCCTTTTGTGGCTTTTTTGAGGAAGTGTAGGATGCCAAGGTAACCAACATAATGATGAGGTTTGTCAATATCTCTCAACATGATTCATACTAAAGAATTTTTCCTTTTTACTGATGGGGAATGAAAACATAAAATTGCAAGTTTCCCAACGCCATAGAGCAAGAGATGATTCACAGCTTTAGAAAAGGCACATGATAGAGTTGTAGGATGATACTGCCCTACAAGAGAGACTATCTTATATTGAGCTAAACCATTGTGTCCTCTGGTTCAGTATTAGCTACACTGATTCACAGTAGCTCTCTAAGGCTGCAGACAAGGGCCACCCTAGACCTGTGCAGAGATGAAAGGGATTAAACACAGGATCATTGTGTTCTTCCAGTGAGCCATGGTGCTTCCTCTTTTGGCTAACTACACACTCATATACAGTACTGCCACTATTGCACTTTCAGCCATTTACATCTAAAACACATCTAATTTCATCAGTAGAGGAAGAAGGATTCCAAACATCAAATTTAAATCCACCAAAATCACAGGGAGGGAGGGGGATCACTTTAGACTTCAGAGCATATCAGTCTTGGTAAGATTATATGACTGGTTGGATAGCCGAGTTGGAATACCCTCCTGTGGACCCTGGGGTTTTGAGTTTGATCTGATTCCTCGTTAAGGCATGTAGTAGAAGAGCTAGCCTATGTAGCCTTGGGCAAGCTCCACAGTCCTAGAGTGTTCCCAGAAGAAGGGAATGGTAAATCACATTGTGACAATTTGAAATGAAACCACAATGTCCAAAGAACTTCCCTATGTGAGTGCAGAGACATTGTCTACATATATCACCTATACTGTATATCACTGGTCACCATGCTGGAGACAAACAGCAGGAGGTGTCTGGCTTATTAATTTGATAGAAGGCAATACTGATTATGTGCCTTTTCTGCTTATCAACACAAGGACATCTGTGTTATTACCACCTACCTGTTGTTAATGACTACTTTTAAAGTAATGATTATTGTACTTTTCATACTTCATTTCCCTCTAACCCATCTATTGCACTACCCCACACCTCACTGACCCAAGCATATGCATAGCAATCTGCTGACTTGGGCAAAATAGACCATGCATATACCGTGTTTCCCCGAAAATAAGACAGTATCTTATATTAATTTTTGCTCAAAAAAAACCAAAACGCATTAGGGCTTATTTTCAGGGGATGTTTTATTTTGCAGTCATTTCATTTTCTGGTTGCTGCACAATGGTGGAGAGTGGGGTTTCACTTAACTAGGGCTTATTTTGGGGGTAGGGCTTATATTATGAGCATCCTGAAAAATCATACTAGGGCTTATTTTCAGGTTAGGTCTTATTTTCGGGGAAACAGGGTAATGAAGTGGCCAATAATCTGCAAAAGCCTATTCTGAATAAAATTCATTCATCTTTAAAATTGCCACAAGGCTCTCTTCTTTTCACAGCAGCAGATGAACAGAGCAATCTCCAGATAGCTCTTTTCCAAGAATGCATTATACTTTCAAAGATGTCTGCAGATGGAAATTTAATATTATTGCATTTTTACACAGTATGCAATAAAATTATATTTACCATTTAACACCAAAAGCAATATAGACCTTTCCCTCTTATTCTATGTAAATATATATCTACTATCTGAAAAAAGTAATTACTGAATATCTTGTCATCATGACATATTTATATAATATCCTTTTAAAAAAAAACTACAGAAAACTATAACCTGACCTTACATGAATACAGTAAGAAGGAATGCCACTGTATTTAATGGTTCTTTTCAAGGAAACTTTCATATACCTGAACTCAAAGACTGATGTCTAGTTGCATCCACTTTCAACTGATGGTCACCAAATATTGTAGTACTTACTTAAGATAAATCTATGTGTAATATATTATTGATCGTTATCACTTTTTGTATCTGGATGTTCCACAACCTATTAAGCCAACCACAAACTGAATTAAAAACCATTTTTCCAAACATCTTGCTTTCTACAGACTATGCATCGTTTTCTCATCGTATTTCACCTTAACGTCTCACCTCCCCAACTATGAAGATTGCTTTGGTGGAGGTCCTCCTCTCAGTCCCACTGCCTTCACAGACAGATGAGCAAAGATACAAAAGAGGGCCTTTTCTGTGGCTTCTCTCAAGCTAGGGAACTCCCCACTAACTACAGTAGTTTGGGTTCCTCCCTGTGATTCTCCACCAAGAAACTGGCTTTTGGGGGGGGGGTCAACTGAACTGACTGCAGAAAAAGGAGCTTTCACTAGATGGCGCTGCACTTTTTGAAATGTTCTAATTCTTTTTTACATTGGTAAACTTTGATTACTGTTAAACATTTAACCATATTTCAGTATTATAATTCGCGTTCTGAAAAAGTCCATTTTAGTAAGTACAGTAATTGGGAGAATGAATAAAATAAATATTAGCTATCAGATTTCTCTGGGGGGGTGTGTTTTCTCTCTCCCACACACAGACTTAAACATCCAAATGAAGGAGGATGCTAAGCCCAGAGTTGGTATGGTTCTATAGATCCAGTGCTGAACGGGCATTTGGGAAATCAAGGTTCTAGTCCTCACTCCGTCACCTAACTTGGGTTATCCTGGGCCAGTAACTTACCCTCACAGGCTGGCTGGTTGGATAAACGGGGTGGGGCAAAAGAAGAGCTAGGCACCCCCTCCTTGGGCTCAATGGCGAAATAAACAGCTATACTGTATCTCCTTGCCCCCTTCTCTCCCCCACCCCGTCTCTTGGTCCTATACATACAAAACCAAGAAGCGCTTCCCTGCCCTCATGGGGAGAAAGAGGGTCGACTAGAGTTCAGCTTCTGCTTATAGATCCGCCCCGCCTTGCCCCCCCCCCCTCCAACAACGTTACCAAGTTACGGCAGCCCCGGCGTCCCACTTCCGCTCCGGAGACTTCTCCGCGCAACATAGAGACACTTCATTATCGACGCCTAGAAAGGTTCTTCCCGTCTCTTTCCTTTTTTTCGGGTGTCAGAAGGCTGCAGCGCCGCCTGGTGACGGGGGTTAATTTTTTTCCCCTCCTCCGAGTCCAGACGATGGGACCTGGACATTAGCTTCCTAAACTGAAGGGAAGAGAGGTGGGAGAAGATTGTTAATGTGTCGAGTGAAGAACTGAGGCTTACTTTCGTGTGAGAGAATCCACGAGGAAGAAGAGATTTTTAAAGGGCCCCTTCCCTGCGCTGTATGCTTCCTACAGTCTTTAGGAAATTAATAAAAATGAAATTATGGGAGGCAGGGGCAGACAGGAGGGCCTGGCGTGCTCTGGTCCATGGGGTCACGAAGTGTTGGACACGACTTAACGACTAAACAACAAAAAGCTGTCTTTTATTAGTGTTTAACCATTGCCCTGAGCTGTTCAAATTTCTTTCATTCTATTTAAACACAGATTCAGCTAATGACGTTTTATTGTATTTTGTAATTCTGTACTGTTTGATTTTAATAAGAAGAACATAAGAAGAGGCCTGCTGGATCAGGCCAAGGACCCATCTAGTCCAGCTCCCTGTATCTCACAGTGGCCCCACCAGGTGCCTCTGGGAGCACAAGAGACAACTAGATACAGTACCTATTTCCTGATACCCTTTCCCCTGCATCTGGAATTTGGCGGTCCCTTCCTTCTAAGCCAGGAGATTATACATCCTCATCATGATTTGTAACCTGTGATGGACTTTTCCTCCTGCTTACAGAAATCTGTCCAATCCCCCTTTAAAGGCATCTAGGCTAGATGCCACCACCACATCCTGTGGCAAGGAGTTCCAAAGACTAACAGCATGCTGGGTAAATAAATATTTTCTTTGTCTGTTCTCACTCTCCTGAAACTCAATTTGAGTGGATGTCCCCTGCTTCTGGTATTGTGTGAGAAGAAAAAGAGGTTCCCTCTATCGACTTTATCCATTCCCTGCATAATTTTATATGTCTCAACCATGCCCCCCCTCAAGTAACTTTTCTCTAAACTAAAGAGCCCCAAACGCTGTAGCCTGTCCTCATAAGGGAGGTGCCCCACACTAGTCATCATTTTAGTTGCTCTCTACTGCATCTTTTCCAGTTCCACGATGTCTTTTTTGAGGTGCGGCAATCATATCTGTATGCGACATTCCAGGTGTGGCCTTTACCAGCGTTTTATACAACGGCATTATAATGTTGGCTGTTTTATTTTCAGTGTCCTTTTTAATTATACCTAGCATGGAATAGACCTTCTTTACTGCCGCCACACAACTGGGTTGACACTTTCATCGAGCTGTCCACCAGCACACCAAGATCTCTTTCCTGATGCATCACTGACAGCTCAGAACCCATTAGTTAATAAAGTTTTGATTTTTTTTTGTGCCCCAATGTGCATTACTTTACATTTTCTTATATTGAAATGCATTTGTCATTCTGCCGCCCTTTCTCCCAGTTTGGAGAAATCCTTCTGGAGCTCTTCACAATCCCTTCTGGTCTTCACCACCCAGAAAAGTTTCGTGTCATCTGCAGACTTGGGCACCTCATTGCTCATCAAGTCATCAATAATGACCTGATGTGTTGTGAACCTCCCAAAGAGCGTTCACACTAATGGGTGGCAAGGCCAATTCAAGGCTCTGGTGGACACTTGGCAAAAAATATAGTAGGGCCCCCCTCCCTCCTCATCCCTCCTTCTCCCTTATCTCCCACCTAAATACTGTAGGTCACACAACATGAACAATGTAAGTGGGGCGGGGAGAACACCCACAGTTCTGGCTCCAAGAATTAATAATAGCAGTTAAGATATTCTCGTCTGACAGGAGGAGAATTTTACATACATACAATTTTAATGCATATTGGTATATCATGTAAATGAGCAGTAAATACATAGCTTGGTGTATCATGCAAATGAGCAGTAAATCCATAAACTTTGTACATCATGCCAGTGCCCTTGGTGCCTCCAAACAGCTTGCCTGTGGCAGCTTAGCCGCAAAACAGCATCTCTGTACCATCTTAGCCCCCTAAAACAGCCTCTTTCTGTCATCTTTGCCCCTACAACAGCCTCTCAATGCTGTGCCTGCCACTGTCAGCTCCACCAGGGCAGGGTCCTCAATGATGCGGGCAGCAGGAGAAAAGACTGTGCATGCCACCAGTCCTCAAACGGCACAAGGTCATGCATCATGGTGCTGTCATGTGACCTCAGCGCACATAAAACTTCAAAAGCCCAGGCAGCGCAGGCTGTGCAGCACCATCACAGAGGGGGGGGAATCCCCCTCTTCATGTGGGCCCCTACAGACAGGGAGCAAATGCCCGCTTAGACACTGAATAAAGCAGCCCTGATGGGCAGAACAGAAGTTTCAAATAATAACAAAAAGAAACAGACAACAAAGATGAGACATACATACAAGCAAGGACCTAATCAACATAAAGCGAAAATCCCCCAGAGGAAACATCATTTTGCGATTGCAATTGCGATCGCAAAAAAGTCATTGTCAAGCAATTTCGAAATGCAATCGCAAAAAAGTCATTGTCAAGCGATTTCGACGTCATGCGGGGTAAGCGTTCTAGCGGGGCACCACTGTAAATAGATGTGTTTGTTAGCCGAGCAACAAAAAAAACTGCCTGCAAGTAGAAAGTGAGAACATCAGGGATAAAAATCCCAGTTTAGATAGCTTCTTTGTTTCCCAGTTGCCAAGAGAGGTGTCTGGGGTTTTGGAAGTGTCACTTAATGCAAGCAAGCATTGGAAACTAATATTGATTGCTTACAATCTCGGAAAGTGCAGAGTCTAGTTCAAAACTTCATACCTCATTTCCTGTTATATTTACCACCAGATTTACAATGGACAAAAATAAAAGAGCCTTTGAGCCCTCAACATAGTGGTAAGAATCATACTTTCTTTCACGAACAGCACCATTATTTTGATTGTTAGAGTGCAGAGTTACAATACTGCTTTCTTAATCTGTGACTAACAAAAATATATACCTGTACAATACGGTTTACATAAGAGGTACACCAATGGCAATCATGCAAACTACACCTGCCTTCTGAGCAGCAAGTCTGCTTTCTGTAACTTCTTGTTAACAATTTGTCTCACAGCTGCTCCCTTTTCCCTTTACAGGGCAAGGTGTTGATAAACTAGAATTTTACAAGATATGATGATGGCCACAGACTCACAAGAGGGTTATGAAACTTTGTGGAAGCTTGTTTAAGGAGGTAATAAACTAAAACCAGCAAGGATTCAGTGACAGTGCATAAAGCAAGGAGGAAAATCCTCAGAATGCCAATAATCATCTTGTAGTCTTGTTTTATTTTCTTATTCTGACAAAACCCCATATATTCTTTTATTTAGAGAAAGCATGTGTTTCGGCCCTGCATTTCTTTCAGGGTTTTCTTCAGAGGGCTAAAAGTAAAAAAAAAAATTAAAATACATTTTATAAATGAACCACATAAAAACACCACATTATATGTTCTATTTTTACTATGGTATAGATGCATATATAGCAAATTATAATGGATTGTAATTTTAAAAAAATCTACATACCTATCCATAATCAAAGGACCAGTTGCATTTGGCACTTGACATTCTGATGATTTTCCTCCTTGGAAATCATTTATGAAGGATCAGGCTTTCACTGGGAACCACTATGAGTAAAGTTCATCCCCTAATGGTAACGGAACAGTTACATTTTCTCTCCAGGAGCTTTGTTAGGAAACAATGGCTGCTTGATTACTATCATCCTTCTTTGTCTTACCTGTGGTTGGGCACTATGGGAAATGGCATGATGGACTATAGACAAGTCTTTGGTTCGATTCTGAATGGATTTACCTCATTCTTCTTATCCTTGTTGTTTGGGGGAAGCCAAGCATTCGGCTCAAGTCACAAGAGGAATTCTTGAGAGGGTGTAACAGGAAAGATTGGATGAGTTCGTCATTTCAGATGCCCAATGCGTTGGACAGAGTGATGGACTAGGACTCCAGAGGGTTCAAATCCGTACTCAGCCATGGAAACTCACCAGAGAAGGGGAACTGGTAAAACCACTCCTTAAATATCTCACTTACTTTGAGAGACCTATAAAGGTTGCTGTAAGTTGCTTCTGATTTGATGACACATAATAAGATAATTTGGAGCTGGCTGGATACAAAGAGCTAAGCACCTGTTTGTAGATCCAGGGGTTGGGAGTTCGATCTTCCATTGTGCCACCTGCGGGAAGAGCCAGCCTGTGTATGGTCAAGCCATACAGTTCCAGGGTGCCCACCCAAAAAGAAATTATAAACCACTTCTGAGCACTCTGTCTAGAAAACACTGAAAGGGGTTGCCATATATTAGAAGGGACTTAACAACACAGAGAGAGAGATTTGGAGACTGCTGTAGAAACTAATTCTTAAGTTTAGAATAGATGCTAGAGTCCTGAGTCCAAATTTATATCATCATATTTTAATTGACTTACATCCTGCCTTGCGCCTTGGTGTTCAAGATGATAGCTTGCAACTTGAATAAAAAGTAGAACAGATAAAACTGCAAAAAGTTATAACTTTGAAACAGAATTAAATAAATTATGATACCTAAAATATGCATAAGTTAAAAAGCAATCTAAAAATACATGGATAAAAAGTGCAGACCCATCTTTTAAAAGCTCTTTGCACAGCAAAAAAATCAGTTGTCAAAAGCCTGTCTGAATAAAATGTTGTGGTGTTTTTTATTTTTGTTTTTTTGTGTGGGTTTTTTTTTGTTTTGTTTTTGTCTGCCAGAGAGAAAAGGACACCAGAGACAGTCCAGCCTAGGTGACTTCCAAAATGAGTTCCAGAGCACAAAAGCAGACACCAAGAAGGTCCATCTGGATAAAATTCACCCCTTGCCAGGCAATCTTGTCTATTGTCTCCTCAAAGGTAGGTGCCATGGAGTTCAACTATTCCCAGGCAAAGGTGAATAGGATCTCTGTCAAAGCTTGACCAACGCCCTGTGGAAGAAAAAGATGGTGCAGGACTCCTTGTGCAACAGCTTTGTCAGGAAAAGCGGATGAAGAAATTAGGAAGCAAATCTGGATCTTCTCATACCACTGCCCACAAAACAGTGTCAAGTTAAGAGGGTTTCCATGTACTATACACTTGAAGCTGATACCCTTCCTCAGCGCATCCATCCATTCACAGCAGGTTTAAGATGAAACAGGCTTTATTGGCATTTCACAACCTGCTGCTCTTAAGGTATGTTAAACGACAGCTCCTAGAATCCTGTAAAAAAAGCTTTGCTTGTCATGCAAAGTAGGTTTCTGTTACCCATTTTATAAATGCGCTTTTAAAAATATGAAATAAGGCTTTTTTTTTAAGTCAGTGGAGCACACTGCGCAGAAGGACAAGGAGAGAGGATGAATATTTGTAGTAGTGGGGCCCAGCCTTGGGTTCCCAGAGGCTCTGCTGGTTTTCAGCCCCCTAGAACTCCTCGCTAGTAAATTAGGATTTGGAGAGTTTATTTTATTTATTTATTTATTTATTAGATTTTTATGCCGCCCTTCTAGACAGGAGTCTACTCAGGGCGGCTCACAATATATTGTGCACAAAACGGACTTAAAAACAACAATGAAAATCTTCAACAATAATATAATCAAGATGGGACGATAAACAACAAAAAACCTAGAAAAGTTAAAAAATCAAGTATTGGCAGGAGGGAAGGCCTGCCTAAAGAGCCAAGTCTTTAATTGGCTCTTGAAAACACCCAGCAAGGGTGCCAGGCAGAGCTCTGGCGGCAAGCTGTTCCAAAGTCGAGGGGCCACTGTCGAGAAGGCCCGGTTTCTTGTTCTTTTTTTCTGGGCCTCTCTCAGCGTCAGGCCCCTCAGCTGTCTTTCGTGGCTAGAGCGAGTGACTTGAGTAGATCTAGGTGGGAGAAGGCGTTCTGCCAGGTATCAAGTTGTTCATCAACAAAATCTGGAGGCCCAAGTTTGGAAACCACTCATTTATAGCACTGGTTCTTAACCTTGGGTTACACAGGAGTTTTGGACTGCAATTCCCAGAAGCCTTCACCATCAGCTGTCCTGACTGGGGTTTCTGGGAGTTGCAGTTCAAAAGCATCCGAGTAACAAAGGTTAAGAACCACTGATAGCCTTCCAAGAGAGAAGCTGGAAGGAGGATAGGATAGGAGTTCTTCTCCTTTAAGAGATGGGTAGAAGAGGGAGTTCCATCATCCTTATCAGCGTCTTGGTGCAGGAACCTTCTTTTTTTATTCCCAAAGGCAAGGTCTGCATGGTTGCTCACATTTAAACAGGCAGCACATGCCACCACCAACACCCCCTCCAACCAACTTTCATACATTACTACCTTCTAGTTTTATATGCACACTGTTTTGTTTTTTACAATGTCATCCAGTACATGTCTACTCAAAGGTAAGTCCTGTTGAATTTTCTGGGGCTTACTGCAGGGTACGTAGATATGGGATTACAGTCCAACCTTTCTAAAGGTTATTGCTGGTTTCCCCAATACCCAGTTTTCATAATCCCATCTAATTTATTTTGCTTATATTTCTGTTGAAAACGATTAAAAGAAAGCTGGGAAAATAAAGTAAGAAAACTTTTATTTCCAAAGAAACCATGTTTTTTCAAAAGCGGAAGCAAACAGTTCCATTTCCTTGGAAGCTGGAGTAATGCCATTCCCCCCCCACACACACACACAATTAATGTATCATTCACTAACTTTGCTTTTTATGTACTTCTGGCACAGCTGTATATTCCACAAAGAAAACCAATTACATTTCAGCTTTGTTTGTGAGCTGACAAAGCATTGCACAAAGAGTAGGCGCATCTGTAGGATAAAAGCACAAAGCAAAAGAAGAGGAAGCTGATTAACCATAATCTTCCCAGGCGGCTCTTGGTCCACTAGTACCTCAGTTGCCAAGAGGCCTGGTGTAATTGCCTGATCTACCTCTCCACCTGTCCACTCTGTCCATGCTGTTTTGTTCCATATCCCTTCCTGTGACGATGGGTATTCCAGTCCCAGCTGCATGTTTCCTTATTGTTGTGTGCAGCTGCATTATAAAAAGGAGGTTAGTGTCCAAATTAGGACACCAACGTTCAGCCATTCACTGAGAGCAATGAACAAAGGACCAGTTAAAGCAGGATTGGTAAATCTTTGTCCAGATATTTTGTTTTTTTCATCTCTCCTAAAAGCTTATCTTTGGCTATACTAGATGAGGATGATGAGAGCTGAAGTCCAAAACACAGAGAGAAGCAAGCATTCTCTGCCACTGCATTGGTAGGTGAGACAAGGGGGCTTACAGAAAGGGCTCACCTCCCCTTTTTCTTGGTAGAGTTTTGGTGCCTTTAACATTACAGTGGCCAGAAATTTAAAAGGTTGTCTCTGTGTTTTCTTATGTGGAAGGGGTTACAGGCCGGGCCCTACTATTGGGCAAAGCAAGGCAGCAGTTGCTGGGGATGGGCAGCAGTTGCTGGGGATGGGTAGCAGCAAGGGATTGGAGCTTGGCTTGCACTATCTAGATTGGCCAACTGGTTTCAAGGCTGACTTACTGCTCCTGCTAACAGGCTCTCCAAACTTCAGTAAAGCTCAGGCAGCTTTCAGACTGAGATCCAGGCCAAATGCTCCCTGCTGTTTTCCCCCACATAGGGCCTGATGCCCAGTCCAGTGGGCTTCTGTTTGTGGAATTAGTGAAGACACCATCTTTGGGAAGCAAAAACATCTCAGCAGGCTATGGAAGAGAGTATTTCTTCAAATGGTGCCGGCTGCTATTACGATACATGTACCTTCTCCCAAAATTATCCAGTTAGAGTGGGGGGGGGGAAGCTCTGCACCATCCCAGTAACTCTATCACCCTAGTATCACTGGTGCTCACCAAACTGAGTTATTGCCTGTGAGAACACCAGTATTCCATGTGCAAACAAAAGCCATGAATTTACTCACAACAGCAAGGATTACATATGGAATGATGCTATTGTGCCCTGATGTTGGAGCCAGTGTCAACCATGCCCCGATTAGTCCCCAAGCATCCTTTCTTTCAGCACAGGAACTGAATCTTCTCCTCCGTACATAAAGGGAAGAAAGGGGAACCCACAGGATGCAGCATCACAAAATCCTGTTGGGCCAGGAGACTTGGGGAGAGCACACATGCTCATCAGAAATAAGGATTTAGGATCCGTCAAAGGGGGTGGAGTCATTCCTTCAAAAAGGAGACTGCAGCCAAAAATCCAGAAGAAGACTGAAATTCAGCAGCTATGAAGAAGTATTCTATTCTATTCTATTCTATTCTTCCCCTGTCCACCTAGTGGCCTGGCACTACTCTAATGCTGAAGTATAAGGATGTGTTACTGGAGACCAAGCCCTAGATCATATCTACAATGACTCATTGTAGTTACAATGTAAAAAGGTAAAGGTTCCCCTTGAAATAAAGCCAAAAAGAATTTATTAATTTGCTGTGTTTTGGAGGACAGTTTTATGGACCACCACAGACTATAAGAAAGACAGATAAGTGGGCACCAGATCAAATCAAGCTTGTACTTTCCCACAGATATCAAAATGACTAAACTGTAGCTATGCTACATTGGGCATATTGTAAGAAGACAAGATTCTCTGGAAAAGACAATAGTGCTGGGAATGGTGAAATGCAAGCAGGAAAAGAGGAAGACTGAATATGAGATGGATTGACTCAATAAAGGAAACCACAGTCCTACAATGACTCATTGTAGTTACAATGTATGGATATGCAAACTGGATAGTGAATAAAGCCAAAAAGAATTTATTAATTTGCTGTGTTTTGGAGGACAGTTTTATGGACCACCACAGACTATAAGAAAGACAGATAAGTGGGCACCAGATCAAATCAAGCTTGTACTTTCCCACATATATCAAAATGACTAAACTGTAGCTATGCTACATTGGGCATATTGTAAGAAGACAAGATTCTCTGGAAAAGACAATAGTGCTGGGAATGGTGAAATGCAGCAGGAAAAGAGGAAGACTGAATATGAGATGGATTGACTCAATAAAGGAAACCACAGTTTTGAGTTTGTAAGACCTGAACAGGGCTATTAATAGTAGGATATTTCGGAGGTCTCTCATTCATAGGGTTGCTGTAAGTCAGAGGCAACTTGACAACAAATAACAAAAACATTTCACATCTTAGAATTTATTAAAACAAAAAAGAAAAGCAGAAACATGTAAGCCAGGGGTCTCAAACATGCGGCCTGGGGGCCATTTGCGTCCCGCTGGACAATAGTTTGCGGCCCCGCCTTGCCTGCCCCCCTGAAACGCCCACGTGTCCTCTGCTGTCAAAAGTAAGAAAAAAGCCTCGCCTCGCTCGCCGGCTCTCTCCCAGGACAGTGCCTCTTGGACCCTCCGACCGGGACTGGAGCCTGCCAGCCAGCCTGCCTGTCTGCCAGCTGGCAGGCTGCAGTTTCGGATGGAGGGTGAAGGGGCACTGTCTTGGGGGAGAGCTGGTGAGCGAGGCGTGCTGCTGGCCCTTTTCCCGAAGCGCCCGAGCCACCGCTGAGCAATGCTAAGAGCGGAGCACGCTCCTGGCCCTTCCTCGAAGAACGCCGCTAACAGCACCACCAACAGCAGCCGCCGCCTCTTCCAGGGAAAGAGCAATGCTGAGAGCGGAGCTCGCTCCCGGCCCTTCCTTGTTCCTTGCCAACAGCAGCCGCCGCCTCTTCCAGGGAAGCGGCTCTCTGGCTCTTTTTCTCTCTCGGCACCCCAGCACCAGCCTGGCCAGTGGCCGTCTCAGCGCCCGGCGATGCTTCCTCCTCCTCCTCGTCCTGTTTGAGCCGCCTCGGCTCTGGAGGCTCCTTGGGCTCACCTCCCAAAGTTTGCTCCTCTGTCGTGGTGGGGGTAGCTGCTGCTGCTGAGTGCGCCTTTTTTTTTGAGGGGGGGCTCAGAGGAAGGTTGCCGGACCTCCGTGTGTATGTGTGTGTGTTTTTGTGCGTGCAACGTGCACCTCACCGCCCCATTCTGTTTAAATTCACAGGTGCCAATGGGGCTTTTCTCCTTTGGTAAGGTGATTCTGTGACGGTTTTAAAAAATTTTATGTTGTGCCCTCCTTCTGCCTCCCCCCCGGCTAGCCGGTCACTGGCGCTCCCTCTCTTCTCCATTTCTTCGTCCTGGTGGTGGTGGTGGTAGTGAAGAAGGAGCCGGAGGGGGTTGTGGCCAGCGATGAGGGCTCGCGCGCCCCTCCTCCACCTCCTCCTTGGAGCCCCAGCCGGGCTAAGGAAACTCCTGGGCGGCTTCCTTGGGCACTTGCTCCGCTTGGCGGAAAATCTGATGCGGCCCAGCCTCACCCAGCCTCTGCTTCCAGTGGCCCCCAGGTAAATTGAGTTTGAGACTCCTGATGTAAGCCATTCATATGTTTTTTTACTCAGAAATATGCCCCACGGATTTTAGTGGGCTGCAGCTTCAGGAAAAAGATCACAGCAATCATTAAAAGTTTACAATCTGAGGCCTTTTTAGCAGAGTCTTGCCTTACTGCTAATTTACATTGGGAATCAGCTGTTTTTTTTTTTCACAACAAGAATCATTCAAATACAGTGAGGAAACCCTTTAAATCTAAAGAATTTAAGTGCTGGATTATTGGTTGTGGTGTGTGTGTGTGTGTGTGTGCGTGCGCTGGATTATTGGTTGTGTGTGTGTATGTGTATGTGTGGTTAATGCTAACGTCGAAAGAGTCGAAGTGCTGCTTGCTGCCTGAATGCCATTCTTGTACAAAGTGAAACAAACAACACACTGAGGTTTCTCCATGGCCTTTATACGTGAGGTTTCTATACCAGGGATGGCATACCGTGATTGGTATTGAGTTGCACTGTATCTCTTATGCTGTGTTGTGGCAACACATACGTGTCTTGGTGATGCAAGACTGGTGGCTGTTTTTACAGAGACCTCTATTTTCTAGACTCCTTCCCTTTCAAAATCACGGGGTAAGAAGTTATTCATACCATATCTCAGGTTTGTGCAAAAACTGTACTGTTGTTAAGAGTTGTGGTGTGGAGGAATACGGGAATAGGGCAGGGATCCAGCCTATTGGGACAGAGGTGGCCCCTCATCCTCCGAAATCTGGGCCACCTGTTTCTCCTCAACCACTGCCTAGTCCTACGTAGTCCACCTGCCCCACTTTCCAGGAAAGAGAGAGAGAAAGGAGGGAGGGAGGGAGGAGAAGAAGAGGGAAATGGGATATAGAGAGAATTGGGGGAATAGGACAGAGTAATCTGCTGGCCTACCTTTCATGGCAGAGTATATCTGGATTTCTCCTGTATATAGTCCATTGAGCAAGTATAACTCGGCCGTAGGATTGTTCTGTAGAATGTATATGATTAATTGATCAACATTTATGTCATAAGGTTGCAGTCCTGCTTTGCAGCACAGAGTATATTTCTGTAAGCTCTGAATATTCCTGGTTTGTTTATGCTTCCAACCTTGGATTGATTGATGGCCTGCACTTTGCATCTACAGTACAGTGTGGTTTTTGTAGACAAGAAAAAGTTATTACGATTAATCAGAGAGCCCTTCCTGAAACAAAGGCATAAAGGTCCCTGCTTTAGACCTGCCGTTTCCAAGAGGTGCTCACCAGCCACACCATCTATGGGAATGTTGGAGCTGCTTGGCAAGCTGGTGGGAAGCGTATGTGCAAGGGTTTGGATTTGCAAAACGAATCAATGCAATCAATGCACATTTCTCACCAGGGTGGCAACAGGTGACAAAACCAAATTTGAGACCAAAGAGGGAGGAAGTTGACCTGGATTCCTTCTGGGCTTCAAGGACACAAGAGGCAGATTAAAACTTGGGGGTGTGTGTGACAATTCCAAGAACACTGTTGTTTTTTTGCAAGGGGAAAGAGCCTAGAAGAAGAAACAGCCCCCCCCCCTTTTTTTAACTGCATTGCTTTTTATTTCTTTGGCTGCAAGATAATGTCAATGAGTCATGAGTAGAGTTTTGACTGCAGTTTAACCACTGCGCCACAAGGTTCAGTAACAAAAGCTCTACTTTGCAATCTCATCACTGCTCAAACTTTTCCCTAGCAAACAATTTACAAAAAGAGAGTCTTCCTGATACGGTGTCAGCTGAGCTGCAACCTTTAATTGCTCTTTTCAGGTAACTTATAGCCTTCCTTAAGCACATTTCATGAGGAATGGAAATGGAGGCCACTGATCAAGCTACAAGCAGTCGGCTCAGACCTCGGCAAACGGATAAGGAAATATTATCTGAGGTATGAGGAAACTCCACATTTGCCTTCCGTTTACCAGATCCCATTTCCTTAAGATGTTGTTCATCATCATCCAATAGCGCTCTCAGTGAGCACAGTGCATATCTCGAACATTGTCACAACATGTCAGTGAGGTTAGCTGCTCCTTTAATTGACAGAGAGTTGGAATATAGAGACAGAAGCAGCAATTGGCCATGGCTGAGGGACAATGCAGTCCTAGCTCTTGGAAGCAGCAGTTGTCCATGGCTGAGGGACAATGCAGTCCTAGCTAGCATAGCAGGGGCAAACTGGAGTTACAGCCCAACCACATCTGCATGACTGCACAGTCCCCATTTCTGATCATTGACCAATGGAGCAAAGTACCTGTTTTGCATAAAAAATCCCCTGTTCTTTTCCTAGTGTTTTTAGATGAAGGACTGCATTGTCCTATGAGTTACCTCAGAATCAAACTGGGCCAGTAACAGAGCTTAGAAAAGCTTCGTTTTGGATTACTGTACTGTATATAACTCCCAGAATCCTTCAGCAACCATTGTGTGAAGAATCTGGGTGTTATAGTCTGAAAATAATGGCTGAAATCCTGTTGCACAGTGTGAGGCCCCCCCAGCAGGAGGCCTATGTAGGAGTGCCATCGCTCCCGTCGCGGACCCAAAACACCCAAACCTCTCCCCCTCCTTCACCACCCCGTCGCGAAGACAAGCAGGTGAATACCCACGAGCTGGGGGAGGTGCAGGAAGATAGGGGGCTAAAAGATGTGGGTATAGACACTAATGACCTGGTACAGACCTTGAAGGGGTTAACTTTGTCCTCAGGGCGGGAGACAGATTTGGTGGGGAAAAAGGAAGGAGGAGATAGAGGCGGCAGCCGGGGATATAAAAGAAAAATGCGAGGAGGTCCCAGGAGGTTGGGAATGGATCTGGTTACAAGATCTGTGGACTGGAAGATGGGAGCAGATGCGGGTACCCCATGATGAGGCTGAGAGACGGCGGAAACAAGGTTTGAAACCCCATCCCTCATATTGGGGAGAAACGGAGGCAAAGGAGTGGAGACGCAAATTGAGGGAAGAGAGGGAGGCGGTAGCTAAATAGATTGAACAGAAGAAAGTATGGCATTTGGCGGAGTTGCAGAAGATGGGGGTCTACCCGGGCCATGGATGGCAGATCCCGGAGAAGGCTCATCCTTATGGGGGTGGAGCGGCGACGAGGAGACCCTTCCCCTAATCCCTCCAGAAGAAGAACCTCCAGAAACTCAGATCCCAGTGAAAGGTTTAACTGGACCTTGGACTATGGAGGACAGTAACCCCTTTGTTGGAAGTTTATGGACACCTTTGCGCCCCGGTTTGGGGGAACAAGAGTCTTTGAAAGGTGTTACTCATAAGGTTCCAGTTGATGTTGATGTTCAAATAAATGGTTGTTACTCATAAGGTTCCAGTTAATGTTGATGTTCAAATAAATGAAAATTGGAAAATTTACCACGTCTCGGTCTTTATTGAAAGTGACTGACCCCCTTAATAACGAACCCTCACACACAGTTATACAAATACTGTACTGTAACATTTGGAAGTGAATTCTATAAGGGAAGAATTGTCCATGTACCCTGTCTGTTGCATACTAACTTGTACAACTTGGCAGGCAACATAATTTATGTAAAGATTTCTTAACCTATGGTAATTCACCTCTAAAAGTTACACTGTTTGCTTAACTGCACAACAGGATTTTAGCCAATTAGTTGCAGGTTATATAGTTACCTGAAACTAATTACTGTTTTAAAAAAGTGACATAAGTAGTTTCAAAATTAACATTAAGGTAATATAATTAGTTACATTGTTATTTTATAGGTGAAATGAATTAATATTTTTAAATCATATTTAATTTTGAATACAACAGGGTTTGTAGAATTCTTTTATCAATCCTAAGTGGGAAGGGAAGTATTATTTGATTTTGTCTTTTGTAAACATGTGAAAAGTGCAGTTTCAGAACTGGCCACTAAAGGGGTCCAGAGCGTATTTTCCTGTATTAAAATATAACATGTGTGATCAAAATCATGATCATGACAATGTGGCCTTTCAGAAGAAGAAATTAGTAATGTCCTACGTTCCTTTTAAAAAGAAGTCTTTCAAGCTCTGAATTCACCAGCTAGCCTAGTGACTGGAAGCTTACAGGAAGTGTGTTCAAATACTCTTGGAGATCCAAGTTAAGGAAAGCTGATTCAGAGAGCAACAAGTAAGAGAGGATTCAGGAACCTTTGTGTGCCCCCCACCCCCAATGTTTGAGACTACAGTGCTCTTCATTGTTTATGGCTGGCTATGCTGGTAGGTGCTTAGTCAAAGACATATAGAGAGTCAAGCTTTTCTCACCTGTTGATGTAAAAACCTGGACCAAGCAGGATAGGAGATAAGCAGCTTCTCTTGTGAGACACGGTTGCCCCATATATATAAGAATAAGCATAAGAGATGAATGCCCTCTAATTATTATTTGATTACAACTCCCATTAGCCCTAGCTAGTAAAACCCATCATGGGGGATGGGTGTTGCAGTTTAGCGTCTCTAAAGCCCCTGGTTCTCCATTCTTCCAAGAGGAGGAAGGGACTGGGTAGGGTACGTTTGTCTCCTTATACACCTGTCTTGCTGATTGATTGTGTAAGCAACTGTGTAATATTTGAGAAGTGATCTGATTTTCCCCAGGTTTCTCATCTTAAACTGTATCAACAGGTCTCACTTTGTTTTCAGTTAACCCCTTAACTTCGTTTTCAGTTTGATGGTTCCTCAAAAGAGGATGAAGATTTCCTTGCTGGGCTAAACCCAGAAGAGAAGGAATGCTTAGAGTACTTTCTACAAACCATCAGCGCTCTGGATGAGGATATCTCAGAAGAGGTTGGTGAAGGATGTCATGAAGAAATGGCAGGCTCTGTAGGTGAGATTAAACAGAACATGTTCATTTGGTTTTATAGGCAGCTTCCAAAAGCTGGCCAATTATTTGCAATCCATACTATATAAGCAACAATTATTCTTACTATTCTGCTTCCTTCACCCTTGCTTCCCTTGAGTTTCCCATGACCCTTGGGAGCTGTTCCAAATCTACAGTTCTTTGATTCTGTGAAAGCATATTTGCAGCATTTAGCAGAGTTTTCTGCCAGTCCAGGCAGACCAGTTGAATAACACATACACAGGCAGCTTCTTCTAAACACCACATATATTTACAATATATACAGAAGTTCTAGCAGGACAAACCGACAACATGACATTCATCAGAAGAGATCCTACATCTTCTCCACATGTCCACACATTTATACACGTGCATATTTACATATAGCCAATCAGACATTGCATCACCCCAGACATCATTTTAATACATGTCCTGCACAACTCAGCATTTTGTCCACCTCTCCAACATGGCTGCTGATTATCATAGGCCTGGTTCTGCTTCAGTGTGGAAATTAACCTTGACAAAAGTCATGCAGTACAGTGGTGCCTCGCTTAATGATTACCTCGTTAAATGACGAAACCGCTTGATGAAGTTTTTGCGATAGCTTTTGCGATCGCAAAATGATGTTTTAATGGTAAAAATCACTTAACGATGACCGGCTCCCTGGTTTGGGAGCCGATTTTTCACTAAACGGCGATTTTGAAACAGCTGATCGGCAGTTCTAAAATGGCTGCCCTCTGTACAAAATGGCTCCCCGCTGTGTTTTCAGAACAGATTCTTCGCTTTACAGGCACTGAAAATGGCCGCCCTATGGAGGATCTTCGCTGGACGCTGAGGTATTTAGCCCATTGGAACGCATTGAACCAGTTTCAATGCATTTCAGTGGGCTTTTTCGTTTCGCTTGACGAGGATTTCACTTAACAGCGATTTCAACGGAATGAATTATCCTCGTCAAGCGAAGCACCACTGTACAGTACAGTACAGTACAGTAAACCTTTATTGGCATAAAACTGTGTGGACAAGGGAGTAAGACACAAGGGGAGAAGAATCACAAGGCGAATAAACATAGTCAACATTGAATGAGGAAGTACAAAATAATGAGAAGTAAGACATAATACCCAGGGAATGAGGTAAAGAAAGATTCTGCGTTATGAGGTAACTGAGTTTCATAATTACAGTTAAATAATTTGCCACCGCCTCGGTGAGGGGGGCACAGCGATCACTCAAAGTTGGGAGAAGGTCAGGGAAAAAGTCCAAAAAGGGAATCAACCAATGATCTAAAAGGAGTTTCTGAAGGGAGTAATGCGCTTCTTGTCTTGTTTTGCTGCATGTGAAGTATATCTCTACTGCCTCCTAAGATGCCTGGATCCTGGAGGCACAGGATTCTCCAGTCAAACTGGTGTTGCAAGGATAATGTTATTTTTGGCATTCTGTGGTTGATCTTTTAGGACACGAAAGAGTAAAGGCAGTGTTTAGAAAGCTTACCCTCTGGGCTACAGCTCCCAGAATCTTCCCATGAGGATGGTCAATGGCTATGTTGCCTGGGTAAATTAGAGGGTTGTAGCTTGTTCTCCACCCCATAAACTCAAGCTAGGATAAGCAAATTATCTGTCTGAGTGTTACACACACACACAAATGCCTGTCTCTCTGTGACACACACACACATGGCTGAATGCTTTCATTTAATATGTGAAATTTACTTATTGCCCCTTCTCTGCCTTCTCGTTCTGTGAATGTTTCTGTGGTGAATGTTTATTTCTGTCAGTGGAGAAAAATGTCATTACCACAAGACCTGTGATATGACCCCAATTGATAAGAAAACAGTAGAAGGGTATGGGAGAACACCATCTGGTTTTTTTACTTGGTTTTTTTTCTCCACTTCATAGTTTTAGCCCATGTTGTTTGTGTCTGTGCAGGTTCTGAGGACCAAAGCAAGAGCAGTTTGGACCCCAGCATGCAGCGACCGACGTCTCTGGAGGCAGCCCCAGCAACACCTGTTCCTTCCTCAGCAGCTTCCAGGAGTAAAACTATCAGGTCCCTTTCTCAAGACGTCGGTGACAGCTCTCTGAGAAGCAGGAGCAACTCTGATGATATCAAACCTGGAGAGTCTTATAGATCAAGAAACTCTCATCCGATCCGGTTGAGAAAGTTTGACACGATCGTGAGGTCAGGGGTTAATGTTCAGGAGCTCCGCTCTCGTTTCCTCCTTCACCTTGATAGCTCTGCCAGTGTTGAGAGGGAACCCAGAGAAGGAGGTGCTAGAACAATGAATCAACTGGGACCATTGACTGGCATCCAGAAGACCCCTAAAAACGAAGCCCTGCAGAAATTAGGCCTCCTCCAGAGAAATTCAAGTGCTCCAAATATGAAAATCCCTCTGGTGCCCATGACAGGTCAGCAGGACCAAATTTCATTGGGTGGAAGCCTGGGCCCTGAAAGAAACGCAGGTTCCATCAACACACCTGAAGAACCTTTATAACATCTGTCACTCCAAGGACTTGTGTTTCCTCTTAGTAAACCTCTGGGAGTGAGAGGAAAACGTAAATTCCTCCAGTACGGAACAAAGAACAGTTTCTTCCCGATATACTAAACAATCTTCTGCACAACAACTTGGAGTCTGGGAAAAAAATCACTTTCGGGATCACAGTTCCCAGAATCCCCCATGCTAGCTAGAGAATTGTATGAGCTGTTGTCCAAAAAGATAAATTCTGTGGTAAATTTACCACAGGCACTCTGGTAAATCATGACTAACTAATGGAACCAAAACAGCCACATCATATGATGTGTGAAGGCTAATTTGGTAGCAACACATGATACTTCTTCCTGTGAATGGCAGCTGCCTGCCTGCGGTGTTTGATTCCACCACCAGACTTCACATTGAATCCTTATCTTCCTTGTGTTGCTTCCTGATTTTGTTTTGTTTCATTTTGTACAAATGCACCTGTCACTTTGCATAACTTGCAATAATTATTTGGAAGCCTAGCATTCCAAGTCAGAGCAGAATGTACTGGCTGATTTTCTTCTACAGTATCTGTAATTTTCTGCTATCTAGAATAATTACACCCAAGGACACGGTCTTCTGATTTGTTTGGTTTTTTAAAAAAAAATAAAGATTGTATTTGACTTTTGATGTGCTCTAGGCCTAATCAGGAAATGTGAGTCATGCAGAGAGCTGAGATAAAGAAGAACATTCTAGTTTGCTTGGTTTGTGTATATACGTGCATGCAAATGTGTTTGACTTTGCTTGGGTTATAAAACCATGAATCCTGCCCTTATTTTTCTTTCCCCTCCCAACCCCTTTCCTCCTTTCACACTCAATCCATCTCGCCTTGTACAGACTTACAAGCCCATGAGTCTCCTCTCCCACCCCAGAGCTCTCTCTTTCTCTTCTTCCCAGTGTTATTTTTATTCATGCTGGTCTTTTTTCCTCACGGTACTCATAAGGATAA